CACCACTCTTTTTTTTAGTTTGATTGACCACCCAAAAATTTTATCTTTTTAATATAAGAATAAGTTTATTAAAAAAATAATTTTAGTCTACGAAAATAAATTTGGGTTTGAGAGATGGTTATGCATGAAAAAGGATTAGTACCCCTATAACACCTATAAAATTGATACCAATTAATCATGCGTTATTTATAATTTTAGACAAAAAAGATTTTTATATAAAATTTAATTATAATTCCCTTTATCTTTACGAAATAAAATTAGTTTAAAAAAATTTTTATTTAGGAATATTATGAAAATTTTCAAATTAAAGAAATACTTTCAAATTCTTCGACATGAAAGCAAAATTCAAATATAGTCTTTTCTTCTAAGATTTATCATAACATTCCTTTAAAAATAATAAAATAACATTTTTTATAAATGATAATCATTGTTAACTCTCCAACATCTAGGTAAAGTATCAACAATTATATTTCAAATAATTTCAAAGTTATTTTTAAGAACTTTTTATGCAGTAAAAAAATGAAAAATGATATAATTCAAATTAATCATCAATAATTAGATCAAACATATATGCACATTATAAATATACACATTAATCTAAAAAATGAGACATATACAAATGATAATAAAACGTGAATTTTAAGAATCAATTTTTAAATATAAAGAAACCACATTGACTCTCTAACCTCTAGGTAGAATTTCGGTGTTACTATTTATATTCAAATTTATATTTTATTATTTATTTAATTTTATTGTTATTTTAATTACATAATTATATGAAAATTTTTTAATGAAATAAAATTTATTAAATACCCGATCATTTAGGTGATATTTGGGAATAGATTATTTCATAAAATATTTTCATACAAATCTTTAAACTTTAGGATGACTTTAGGATTTTGGGGTTTCAAGATTTCATTTAAGTCTTCAATTAGGACTTAGGGTTTTAAGATTGTATGCTAGGGTCTCAAGTTTTACCTAGGGTTTTGATTTTAGGGTTGCATTTTGGGTTTTAACTTTTAGGGTTTCATTTTAAGGTTTCATTTAGAGCCTCGTTTTAGAGTTTCACTTTAAGGTTTCGGTTTTCACCTAGGGTTTTAATTTCATTTTAGGAATTTACGAACATCTCTAAAAATCTTCAACATTTAGGCAAACTTTCGAGGCAAGTTATTTTTTTCTTGTTATAACTTCCCAAAAAATGAATTTTTATATTTTTATTTAGAACAAGTTTATTTTTCATAATTTCTAGAAAATAATTTTTATATCTAGTTAGAACGAGCTTATTTTTATAATTTTTAAAAATTAATTTTTATGTTTTATATATTTTTCTTTCCATTAAAATTTATTATTATTAATTATTATTTAATAATTCCTTAACATCTAGGTAGAATTATTATTTTTTAAAAAACATGATTTTTATTTCCTCCAACATCTAAACATGGATTTTAAATTTATTATTATTTTCTATTATTAGTAAAATATTATGGGATTAGTAAATTTAAAGTGTATAAAGAATGAATTGCATCAAAAGTAAATTAAAGCATGGGAAATTGAATTAAAATAAACATATAAACTTAACCAATAAGGAAATTCAACATGCATGAAAATTTAAATTTTAATTAAACTTAAACCACGTGAAAGAAATTTGCATGGAATTTAAAAGCATTTGTTCCCTTGGTATGATGATTTCTCCTTTATTTTAAACCAACAAGAATAATAAAGAAGAAACTTAGTCTTAACTTCGTGGATCCCTTGCCCTTAGAACAAAAACCTACCCCTTTCATAGTAAGACCTAAAAACATTGGAAGGTTTTTTTTTTTTTTTTGTTACCTCAAAATAGCATGAAACCTAAGCAACCTAAGCTGTCACTACCCATAAATATGAGCAAAAGAAATTACAGTCTTAAGCTTTCCCAAAAGCATACCTAGCAATTATTAAATACTTGTATGCTTAAACTTCTATGAAATTATGTAGCAACATATATCATATCTCACTAGGAATAAATATCCAGACAAAAGAAACAAAACAAAACAAACAATATCCACATAACAATGAGGAGATTAAAATCACTTAAGCACAAACAACATGCAAGGGGAAACAAGGAAGAAAAAATGCACATGAAACATTCTGCTCAGCATGGAGATGAAGAAGCTTTAAGCTTTCAAAACCATTCATACACATCAGAAAAAGGAAAAGAAAAGATACGAAGAGAAAAGGAAAAAAAATTGATCGAAACCTTAAGTTTTCTGTTCTTTTTACTTTCAGTTTTCTTTTTGCTTGTTGCTGGAATTCTGCCCAGTTTGTTTATTTTTTACCCTCTCTTTTAGCATCTTTTCTATTGGGAATAATGACTTAAATCCCATAAGAGATTTGTTTGAGATTTGTTAGAGATTTATTTGAGATTTGTCAGATATTGCTTGATGGACAAGAAGACTTGTAAAAGAAGAATTCTAAGAGAAAGATGAATCTTAATAGGTAAGTTTGACTTACAAGAGAAGAATTCTAAAAGGAAAGGGATTCTTAATAGGCAAGTTTAACTTACAGGAGAAGAATTCTAAGAGGAGAGAGATTCTTAATGCCCAAGTTTGTATGGTTATAAATAGGTGGAGTCTTTATAGGGTTAGGTATGAGAAAAATATGTAAGAGAGTTGTAGGATTTTGTGGGATAGACACCATAGGAGTATTAAGGCTTTACGTCTTATAGGTGTGTATGTTTGTTTGTGAATGGACTAGAAGAGACTGAGAAGATCTATATAGGTATGATATATGAGAACATATGGATATGTATTTAGTTATGTTGAAAGGGTGCATAAGGGTTTGAGTTTGTGTTTGTTTGGGTTGAGAATACTTCATAGAACTAGAGGAGATTGAGAGTGTCTTATGAGTATTAATTGTTGAGTAAGGTTGATGATTTGATGTAAGTTTGTAATTCTCTACAACTAGTGGATCTTATTTCTCATCCGTGGATATAGGTCAGTTGGACCGAACCACGTTAAATTATTGTCTCTTGTGTGTTTGATTTATTATTTGATTTTACTTCTGCTGGTATAATTGAATTGAAGGTTTTTAGCCCAACATTTTCTTGGTGTTTTTAGTTTTCCTGCCTTCACTCTTGCTTTTTTGGTCGGTCTAATTTTTTTTTTAAACTTTTTTTCATTTTTTTTACCTGGCGCTACTCCTTTTTTCTAGTTTTATTTATTTTCGAGTTCTTTCTCTTCTGCTGCGTGCTTCATCCTTCATTTTTCTTTCTCCCGTCTTTTTTTGGACGACCTATGCTACTGTTGCATAGGTTTTTTTTTATTGTGTTTATTTTTTTCTTTTTCTTTTGTTGCCCGAATGCTACTATTTCTTTCCCCCTTTTTTTTACGTTTTCTGTTTATTCTCCTTTTCTACTAACCGTGCCTCACCTTCTTTTTGGGTTCTGCTTGCCCTACCTCACATACTATTCACTAGTTCCATTTGTTTCTGCGTGTTACTAGCTTTGCCGCCTAGCATTTTTCCTCTTGTTTTTGGTCTGCTGCCTTTATGCTCTTCTTGTTTTTCGTTCCCTTTTTTGTTGTGCCATTTTCTTCAGGTTTTTTTGCCTCACCATTTGAGAGACTTTCCTCTCTCGTCCAAGCCACCTTCTTTTTTTTATTTTTTTCTTTTGTTATTCAGTTTTGTTTCATGCCCACGATCTCCACTGATTCCTTACGAACTGCCCGAGCCACTTCACGCCATCTCTTTTCTTCAGAAACTTTCACATCCTTTTTCACGTCATGCCCATTTTTCTCCTTCTTCATTCGCCCATGCACCACGTTCTCTAGCCTTACCGTTTTCTTATCAGTTTCCTTTAGATGTTTTAGTGTGTGAGATTTTTTCTTTCGCCAAAATTGAATAGCCTAATTTATGGCCCACTCGGGCTTTAAAATGAAGCGACCACATTAGGGCCTTGGCCTTGAGTCTTGGCTCACTTAGGCTTCTTTAGTTTCGGGCTTATGGTATTTTTTTTATTTACTTTAATTAAGCCCTTTCAATTTTATTTTAGGAGTCCTTTTTTTAAAATAATTATCTTTTATATTATTATTATTATTAAATAATTTTATATTTTTTATGACCAATAATGGATTATTAATGGGTTTTAAGAATAGGTCTTTATCAAATCACTTTGGACCTTATACAGAGCATTTAAAAGTTGGTTGTATATTGGACTTGAAAAAAGAAGATTGAGCCCATTTGTAAAAATTAATCCCAGATTAAAAAGTAAAGTATTTCGAACAAAATTAAGTATCTATAACGTTTTAAATATTTGAATGACGTTATAATTTTATCACTAATTTAAAATTTTATCTATCTCAAAATTTCTTGATAAATTTTAAGTAATGTTATTAATTTTTTTCACAAATTAAATACTTAAGTTAATGATTAATGATATTATAATTTCGTCACGTTAGTGTATGGTATAATATGACAATAATATAAGTATCATAAACTTTTACTATCAAATTTATTTTGTAATAAATTTTTTTGTGACGTTTTAAAGTTGTTAGAAATTTAAATTTTTATCTACGATGGATTTATTCTGATAGATAAAATATTTTATCAAATAATAAAAAAAATAAACTCTTAATTTTAATAATTAAAATTTAAATCTTAACGATCTTAAATAAAAAGAATTACGAAGACAGTCTATTCTTAGCATTTTTTTTAAGTCTACACTCATGATTTCTCTAAAAAAAAATTAATGTGATATAACAAGCATTTAACATTATTGTTATTTTATATTTTTTTTATACTCTCGCTACTTTACGCTTCAATGATTTAAAAAATTATAAAAAAATATATATTATTTACATTTATCATTTTTAGTTTTATTTGTTACAAATATATTTAATTTGTTATTACTATCCATAAAAATGAAATTTCAATTGATGTTTCACTAAACTACACCGTTTAGAATGATACATTTTTTATTAGGTTTCTTATACTCCCTTCAAAACCCAGGCTAAGTAGCGGTCTCGTGAGTTTTTTTGCCTAAACCGTCTCACCTCTCTGCTCCCCTCTCTGGTCTTTTGCCAAATCGGTTAATTGAGTAGAAGCCACTCTCCAGTGTTAACCGAGTAGAAGCCACTGTCCAAAAGCAATTTGGCCGACGTTGATTGGCTAACAATCCAAGGTTTGCATTCCAAAATAATTCTCCAGAAAATATTTGTTAATCTTTGGTTTTAGGCTTTGCCCCATACGCTGAGCCCCAATATTTGGTGTAGGGATGAACATGGATGATCTCTAGAAATAAATGCAAGTCATTCGTGCTTTCATTCGTAAGTTGGATTTAGGAAAACTTCATATCAGTGTTTGATTGCTCTGTTATAGTCTATTTCAATTTTTTGTTAGGTAGAATATAGCAACATGTTCTGAAGTTTGCTAGTTAGACATTTTTTCCCGTAGTTTTGTTATAGCTTTGTCGTATGTAGTTAATGCTAAATCTTATTTAATTCAGTCTATCTTTTTTCTAGAGATCAACTCATCTGGCATCAATGCAGTATAGGTTTTCAATTCTAGATGATAGAATATTTTAGGTTTTCAATGCAGTATAGTTTTAGGAACTGGTTGAGACTTAGATTTTTTATTTTAAAGTGCTAAACCTGCACAAGAGATATAGCTGCAACGTGCAAGGTATGCACGGATGTCGCTGTTTGCATACCCCCAAGCTTCAAGATCTCCAGTGACAACGAATTTCTCTTGCCCAAGGGGAGTCCTGGAGCAACAAGGTTGCATCAAATATAAAAAGTACAGAATAGGTGCCATAATCCCAAAACTTTTATACTGCTTCAGACTGATTACCTTGTCAAATGTACATGTCATGTATGAAAATGTAAAAAACGGTTATATTGTAAAACTATTTTTCTGTTCCCACCTAAATGTTCAATGGGTTTAGGCTTTCACAATGTACGATGAATGTGTTAGTAAATAAAAGATTCATTGTTTTTTGTTCTTACTTCAGCCCATGATTGTTTTAGAACTGATTTTCTCAAGGATTGAAGTTATTATACTAGATGACATAGTGAGAGGCCCTTCCAAAAGTTAGGGGAAGCAAACAAATTCAGGACAAATATTTTGATGAATATCTTAGTGCATTTGGTGACTTGCCAAAGATAAAGACAAAAAAATGTTTTGAATGTGGATCATTGGGTTTTTGAGCACTGACTGTCTGTCGTCAGCCAATCCTGTTCTGGTCTTCTAAAGAGATTGAGTCATCCTACTTTTGTCCTCCTTTGCTTTCCAAATTCACTAGCTGAACTGATGACAGGCTTCGGTGGCCTTAGAAGTTGTGAAGGGCAAGGGCCAGATGTATTTGAGTTTGATAAGACATGCTTTTTTGTTAGCTGAAGGAGTTTGTTGATGGTCAAACATCATCATCCAATGGACTGTGTAATGTTCGTGAGTTGTTGTAATAAACCCTCATTGACTTTCTCCTTCTGAATCTTTTGTTGATGCTAGCTTTGGTTAGATCCTCCCTTCCATCACTCTCTTTTTATGACTTTCTCCTTCTGAATATTTTGTTTTTTAATGTTTCACTTAGACCATTTTCCAGAACAAAAAACAGAGTTTCATTTTGAAGCTTTTAACTTTTGGCTCTTTGTGAACAGTTGATTGGAAAATGGAGGAAGGCTTGGTATTTGCTCGTATATTAACTTTTGATTTCTATTTTCTAACTCTCTCATAATTTTTTTTTTCTGAGTCAAAAAAATTTTTACAGCTCTTCTTTCAACACCTACATCAGTCTTTTCTCTGATCTCGTTGACTAGTTGACTATTCTGCCTCTATTTAGGGCCTTAAGGCTATCTCTTTATGAAGCTTAACCTGTGTTATTATTATTATTATTAGTATTATTATTGTTTGTAATTACACAAGATTATGCTTCCCCGCAACCTTTCTACAATGTGAGAATTTGACCAAGAATGTAGTCATCAACAATGACAACGGAAATTCTGTTTTTGGAATGCACCTACAGCAAAATTTGTCCTTGAATACTAGATGTAAAGTCACCAAATGCACTAAGATAGGGACAAATGTAAAGATATTAATAGATGTAGTCTGCAACAATTATGATGTAGCTAGTATCCATAGTTAGGGGAATACCAGATGTAAAGGACAGTCGGTATAAATTTTTGAAAAAAAAAAGTGATCTGGGTTTTGCTTGCTAACAAATGTTTTTAAAGTAATTTTAAAATTTAATAAATTTTTTTTTATAATAATAATTTTGTATTATTTATAATAATAATAATTTTGTATTAATATGTATTCATAGAAGATTTTATTACGAGTTAGGGGAATGACCAAGAATGTAGACTGCAACAATGGCAATAGAAATGACCACTCAACTATGAATGGAAAATTCACGTGCTAAAATATGATGAGTACTAACTGTCCTTTTACATCAAATTGTGAATACAGTACACCTACGCAATAAAGGCTATATTTTGCACTAATCTTTAAACTACAAAAGCTAAAGTGTTTAAAAGTTTAGACAACAACGACAATATCAACAAATCAGGCTTTCTCAAAGTTAAGTAGCAAGTTTGAATAGCCAGATCATCTAATGCCCAGATAGGACAAGGGTGTACAAATGGGAACAAACTGACTTCTTAGCTATTTTCCATAAGGTACAAAATCCTGTTGCTAGAAATATAATGTGTAACGTTCTCAGTCATGCCATTCTCAGTCAAAAAGATATACTTTGTACTTACTCAACAGAAAAGAATAGAAAGATCACCTTTTCTTGAGCTAGTTCTGCAATAGCCTGTGCATACTGATGCAATAAATACAGTTTAGTTGAGGGATGCCGTATGCTTAGCCTCTGTACTTCCCTTAGCTGATTCAGATGATGTTGCTTGTGGATCTGATCCCTGTAATTGTGGAATTTTTGCAGAACTAGCAGAAGTCCCAGCAGTCTCCTTTATTTCCACAGAAACTGTTGATTCTTGGTCACTCTTCTTTTCTTGGCACTTCAAATTCCTACTAATTGAATAATCTTGCGTCTCAAGGTAATAAGAGAAAGTCTCAAGGTAAAGTTGATTATGCTTCCTTCCTCTCTCTTTGAAATTCTATCTTTTTTTTTTTAATTTTAATTTATTTTAGCCCATAGTTGAGCTATTTAATTAAGGTAATCTTTTTTTTTCCTAGTTTTGCCACTTTTTTATGATATGATTCTGAAACATGGAGTGAGTTTGTCCAATTCAGTAATCCGCCTACATTAGTGGAGCAATTATGCAATTTAGAGAGACAGAGTAAAACTAGAACCCTGATAATATTATATTCCTTTCTGGCAGATAGCCTGTTACATCCTTTGTTGTTCACAAATCCTTACAGAAGAAGATATGAGAAAGATGGAAATAGAAATAAGCTTGATAGAAAGAAACTAGCTAGTACTATCCTATTTAACTGAAACGAAGCTACTACTACTGTTTGCTATTGTTTTACACGCGAAAAAAGGGCAAGGGGGAGACCATGTGGGGTTATGATGTAACAGTCAGTTCTGCAGGTACAGATTTGTTTTCAGCCTTTCCATGACTATAACAAACCTTTCGAACTGTTTGATTAAGGCTCGTTTAAGTATAATTGAGCAGTTAGCTAAAAACAAATCAGTTTTAAAATTGAAATCTATTACAAATTTGTTTTTTGATTTACTTTAGTTACGAAGCAATTTAAACAGTCCTTAATTCTATTTTTGATTTCCAGTAGTGAATTAAAAAAAAAATCTCTCTTTGGCTTAGATCACTTGAAGATTGTTAAAAACAAAAACAAGTAAAAATTTTAATATAATTTTGAGTTGCATTATTTCTTGTCAACTGCTAACAAAATCCTTATGTGATGCACTAACCTTAGATTCTATCAAAGCATATATATATATATATATATATATATATATATTGAATGAACCTTGATCCTTTTTACATGCATGTCTAAGAAATACGAATATTTCAATAGACCCATTCTGGTGTTGTGTCCAATTTTTGTTAATTGACTAGAATGTGAGTATTGTGTACTTTATTATGATGTATCCTATGGTCTTGTTTTATTTTGATCTTATTATATCTATTGTCATTTAATATTTGTTATTAATTATTTATTATAGCTTCAAGTGACACAAACTTACAATAAATACAATCACCCTCGATATAAAAATTGGATTGAGAGATTCAAGACATGCATTTGATCACGTACTATTTCGTATTCCTAATACTCTTTGTTTTTTAGACTATTATTTCTATATGATTTTAGAATTGACTATAATGAACGATAAATTTAAAATAAATGCAAATATTTGGATGATACTTTATAATTTCTTTTTATTTATACAAAATTTTGCAAGAACAATATTATTTATATTAGAGTATTCTAGAAAGATGATAGTTGGGAGTTGTGACGTTCAATATTTTGTCACCATTATAAAAGAAATTCTTTTCAACATTAAAATGGTTAATTTGTTACTTAAAAATATTTTCCATGACGATTGTATTATCGTCATATTCAACCAATGATATTTATTTCAGTGACGAAAATAAATTTATAATTGATGACAAATTTAATTGAAATAAATTTAACATATTGTCACCTAAATTAAACATTTCACATATATTTAGTGACATTATGGAATTTTTTATGATGTTATCTTACAATTATAGGTGACGTTAATTGTGTCATTAATACTGTGATGATTTACCTTTTGTTACTAATATATAAAATTTTATCATTTATTTTGTGACGATTATAGTATTGCTAATATATCATATTTTATTAGTTATTTTGTTGATTATAGAATTTAATGATGTTTTTTCATATAGATGATGAAACCGAACGTTAAAAAAAATAAAACATAAGGTGACATTTGATTTTAATGTCACGTTTGACGTTATCTTATAATCATAAATGACATTAATTATGTTACCAATACTATAACGATTTACATTTCATCAATAATATATAGATTTTATCATTTATTTTATGACGATTATAGCATTTAATGGCATTTTTTTCACATATAGCTGACAAAACTTAATGTCACAAAAAAAGAAAGCATAAGATGACATTTAATATTAGTCACCTTAGATTCACAATAGATAACGATATTTTAGTATAGTAACATTAAACCTTTAGCGATGGTACAAATGTGATGAACGTTATGATGTTTAATTTTTTGTCACAGAATATATACGGTGACGAAAAACAAATATTTAGTGACATTATTATATGCATCACTAATAGCCAAATTTGTTATAATGATATTTTGCTTCACAAACCAAAGATTAATAAATAAAATTTCTTTCATTTTTAATTTTTGTTTTAAAAAAAGATAAAAATATTATAGGATTAAATATGTATAAGATGGATTGAATTGGTAGTTTTAATTTTTTATTTTTTAGTTTGCATTCGCATCATTTATTTGTTTCATATTGCATTAAACATAAAAACTTTTAAAGAGAAAAGGTGTTAGCCTTGAATTGATCCTTATTTTGAAATGAAAAAATATTATGTTAAATAAGCTTGATCAAGATTTTGAAAAAGATTTATTTGGTATATATTCTTAAGTTTTATTATTTTTTGTACTAAATAAATAATGTGTTTTTTAAAGTGTAAACAAACCTTTCTCTATGTTTTTTTATTTCTTAAATCAAATCTATCTTTAAAGATTATTTATTTAAGCTTAAATGAAAATTCAATTGTTGTTTTTAAAGTGAACATATTCATTTTGGACTTAATACAATTTTGATACTATTAGTTTTGAGAAATAGATCAACTTAAGAAAGTTGTTTTACAAGAACAAAGTTTTCCAACATTGAATTGGTTTTATTTTTCTGTATTAATTCACAAAGCTTTAATATTTGAATTTTATATGGTTGGAAAGCTCTTTGAGTCTTCTTTTTAAAGGATCAAACAAAATCAAAATTCAAATTTTTTAAGAAAATATTTTTAATATTTACTAGACACTTTGTAGTTGTTTAAAAACTGCATAAATAGTAGATTTGAAAAGGGATTGATCACCTGAAAAAGGGATCGATCCCTTATGCTCAAAAACACTCTAATGGCTAGTTTTTTCAAGCTTCAAATGGGCCTTTCTTCTTCCAAACCATCCTTAACAACTAGTTCTTCAATTTCTCTATAAATTGAGAACTCCAACACACCAGAAAAGGTTGATGAATCAAGAGAGCAAGATCAAACAAGTCATATTTTCAGTCTCTCAAATAAATAAAGAGTTTTAGAGCTTAAATTCAATATCTTTTGTATTTCTTATATCTAAAATATTGTTGTGTTTCATTCATCAAATTTTTTATACTCCATTAGGCAAACATTCAACCTTAAGAGGTATTTTAGTTTGCAAAAATTATTTGGGTTATCTTATAAACAAAAGGTGAAGTATCCTCTTGATATTATAAGGGTAAAGGTTGCTATATAAGCATTATAAAAAAAGATAAGAATTTAGTACAAGATATGTTTGTATCTTGTAAGAGTTTTTCTTCAATTAGTGGATTGAAGCTTTGGTGTGGACAACCAAGAAGAGAGGACGTAAGTGCTTTATAAATAAGGACTGAACCTATATAAATCTTTGTGTTTGATTTTTTTATCTCTATCTCTCATTTTTATTATTGATTATATTTACTTCTAGATATATCAATTATCGTCATTTGCATCATATTGTGATATTTATCTTAATTTTTCATTCAATTATATTTTGAAATCATTGTTTGGGAAGAACTTGGAGAAATCCAATTCACCTCCTCTTATATCACCATTTCACCTAAAAAGCTAACAATTGATATCAAAGTTTTGATCTATTTTTGTAGGTTTAACCACCTTTAATAAAGATCCTATGGCTCAATTTAGGTTCTAAAATGGTGAGAAAAGTCCTCAAAGCTCCTATGTTTGATAAATTTAAATTTTATGAATGGAGAAAAATGATGAAGATATTCATAATGGCCCAAGATTTTAAAACTAGAAATATGATAGAGAAAGAGCTTGAAATTTCTTCAAATGATGCAAACTACATGAAGCAAGTGATAAATGATGCCAAGGCAAAATGTTTTCTCTATGGAGCTTTTGACTTTCACAATTTCAACTTGGTCTTAAATTACTCCACTTCAAATGAGATATGAAGAAAGTTGAATGAGCTACATGAAAAATAAATTTTCAACAAATGCATCATGTCTCATAGCTCTTGAAGAGCCTAAGGTAACCTCTAACTTAATTAATTCAAATTCATATACTTTTGATGAATTATAAGATACCTTTAATGAGTTAGTTATGAAATTTAAATCAATGAGAATAAAATATAACAAAATGATTTCAATGTTGAATGCAGAGAGTAAGTTTTTGATGAATGCAAAAATTATGTTAGAAAAAGAAAATGAAATGGTGAAAATAGATTTAAAGACCTCTCAAAATAAGTATGAAATTTTAGAAAAAGAAAATTTTGATTTGAAAAAGAATTTTGATGCTTTGATGAATAAAAAAAAGAGTTTTTATATAAGAGTTAAACGCTAAAATGATTAAATGTAATTTTTGTAATTTTTATGATCATACTATACATACTTATCCTATAAAAAGAAATGTTTCATTTAAAATTAAGCAAGTATGGGTTCCAAAAGGAACTAGAGATTTGGTCACTAACTTTCAAGAATCCAAAGTAATTTGGGTATCAAAAATCAAATGAGAATGTCTCTTGTAGGTGTGTTAGAGCAGGAAGTTACAATGTGTTTTTGAAGATTGGATACTCTAGATACACAATGAAAGTGGGTAATCTCTAAGCCTAATATTTATTTGAAGAGTATTTGAAATTTGTTGCCTATTCTTGGTTGAATGTTGAAGTGCTTAATTGCTATATACTTTATTGATATATCTTGATTGATTCTAAATTATTTTGAAGAAAATATATGCCCACATATACTATGTTGATATTGCAAATTTGATTGAAATTGATTATATGTTATAATTTGCATAACTTTGAAAAATATGAGCTTGATTGTGTATGTATTTATTTTTGCTTTTGAATGCATAATTTTAATAATTTCCCATGCCTGTTATTGTGTTTAATGCTTATTTGCTTGACATAAATCTTTAGAAGAATTCATGTATGCTTTAATGAATTTGTGAGATTACATGTGAATGCTCTTAATATTGGGATTATGTGAATGATTTTGATATTTAGATATTATTTGTGAAACTGTTATTGGTGCTTGATGTAATTAATTGTGTGCTAAATTATTTTTATATTTATGCACAAACTTAGGAAAAACACTCAAAGCTTAATGATTTTGAAATTTTATGTTTTGCTTTGAAAATAATTTTTGCTAGAGTTAAGTTTTAAAATATCAAATATTGTTTTAGCAAGTTTTTAAATGAAAATGAATTTAAATATCTTGAATTCAATGATTTAAACTTGTTCAAACAAAGATAACTTGATAACTGGCAATGGTTTAAAATTTTCATAAGTGTTACATGCAAGTTTCAGATGATTGTGGAGCTTAAAATGTCAAATCTTGTTTTTGAACATTTATAGGCATAAAAACCATTTGAACTTTTCAAAGTGTGATATAAAACTTTTTAAAATGATTTGAAGAGCTTAAATGTGTGTTTAAACATATTTACCCATCTTAATAGCCATCTTCAAGGAAATATGGGATTAAAAGTTAACTTTTTGATTTTCTTATTTCTAATGCCAAATGATCACTTCAACAATTTTGTTTTGTCATTTGAAATTTGGTGGAATGATTCAAGTTGGTTAAAAATGAGCTTGACTAGTTTTGAGATTTATTAAGATATTTTTCAAGCAAAAATGAGTTTAAAAGTGCGAAAATCAAAATCCTAGACATATTTAGCTCGAATAGATTATCCTATTGTATTTTGCGTAAATATATTTGTTTGAATAATTTTGACATGATGAAAATAATTTTTGTGATTTTAATGCACATTGATTTGTGATTGTTGAACATGCTTGTATAACCATAATGGTTGAAAATGCTCCACTTGTTGGTAATGCTTGGATATTGTGAAATATTATTTAAACTTGATTATTTTATTCTCAATTGTTTTAACTCTTGATTTGTGATTTTAGATATTAATAATCATTTAGTGCTTAAATTATAAATATTGATGTTTGATTATTCATCTTTTGATTTCTTATGAAATAGTCTTGAAATATGCTTTAATTCTTTATCCTTATTAATTCAAGATTTATTTTTTCTCTTGTGTTGGTGAATTGATGAACATCTTGTGCTTAAGTGATTCATATTGATTCATTGTTCATCTATGTTTTTGGTTAAAATATGCGCTCATATGATCATTAGTTCAACTTGACCTTAATGCTTATGATTTGAAAATACTTAAATTTTTTTATCTCTTGATTTTTAAAATTTTTTAAATATATTTACTCTTGTGCTAAATTGATTCATTAATTTTGTGAAACATTTTGGAACTTGTGCTTAATTGATTTATTTTTTGGTTTGGGATTAAGTATTGATGAACTAATTGTGTTTAATGATATGTGTTGTTAGTTCATTTATTGTTCTTTTCAAGTGTGTGTTTATATGAATATGATTGAACTTTACTTGACATGCTTTCAATATGAGTTAAGTGAGTAATTTTCTTATGGTGCTTATTTTTTCCTTAAGTCATTGTCCATTATGGCCTATAATTTGTGTAGACATATTCATGGTTTTGTGCTAAAATTTTTTTGAATATATTTTTTATGATAAATATGTTTTTCTTGAGTTTTTAGTTTTCATATGGCCTAAAATTTATTTTGACATATTCTTTAGTAATTTTTTGAATATGCATGATTATTGAATATGTCATCTTTGTGTTCATAAATGATTTATAAATATTGATGTTTTGCATATTACTTAAGAACTTTTACTTTAGTGCCATCATGGTGCTATATGATGTTTATTATGATGAATGGTTTATAGCTTTAGTTAATATTGAATTATTTGCTAGCAAATTGGCAACTTGTTCTTAATTAGCTAAATTTTCTTTTGCCTATAATGACTTAGAATATGAAATTCATTTTTAACAATTAGTATAATTTTTGTCAATTGATATTCTTAATGCTATTAATGATTATTTCTTTGTCAAGAATATTTTCTAAGTCTATGCTAGGAGAACTTGAAATGAGCATGAATGAGCCTACATTTTTAGAATTTCAAGTATAGCAAGCAAAGCATGTCATCCTCATCAATCAACCTAGTTTTGCTCAAATGAAGTGGATTGAAGAATTTAAAGCCAAATGAGCACCACAACAAAGCTTGACATGGATAAAGGT